CAAATCTCTGGCCCCAGGAAACCCAGCTTGGTCCTGATGGTTTTCCTCACCATTTTTCTGCCAGGGTGAGTTTAGCTGTTAATAATGTAGACTCTATTATTAAATTAAATGAAAAGAATAAATTACACTTTTATGAAACCACCTGCTATTTTTATGTAGTTTCCATGTTAGCAGACTGCAAAGTGCTCTATAACTGTAATGGATCTAAAAGTGTTTAAATCTTAAGTTTTAGATCATCCTCAGTCTTAAAATCATAAAGGACAGCATTACATTTCTGATATTAACAGTAACTCTGGGCCTTTGGACTGAGAGTACGAGGCCTAGCTAACTAGCTAGCAAAAAGCCTCAAACAAAGTGGGTATGCTAGCAGCTAATCTAGCAAATGAATTAACAAAGAGTGATTTTTAGATGTTTTAAAACTAACATGATAAGCTGTGTGTCTTCTTCATAAGTGACGTGGTTGTATTGAACAAGTCATCAGTTGCGGTAAACCTATCACCAGGTAGACTGGTCAGAATGCTCTGGTTAGAATCCATTTCAGTTTGTCTTTTGTACAAGTGAATCCACCTGTGTTTGTCTGCCTGAATTACACTTACACTGCAGGGGAAACTGAACAATAACCAGAACAAAGTCTAAAATAAAAACTGCCAAATATCTGCACCACTGAGTCACGCTTTATTTTCTCAGCATCAGAAAAGGTTTCATTTCTGACCTGCAACAAACATATGCACTGTGCTCGCTATGGAAGCCCGTTTCCGCCACATAAAAAAAAGTATCCATAACTCGAACTGTTGAGTTATTTTCTCAAAATTTCAAGTTACTATTCAAAATTTTGAGAAAAATATCTCGAAATTTCAAGATATGGATACTTTTTTGTGTGTGGTGAAAACGGGCTTCCATAGCTGTACAACTTGCAAATTTATAAGAGGAAGTTGAATGAATTTCTGGCCTTTATGTCACTCAAATGCAACAAACCAGGAAATATAACATGTTGATCTCTATGTTTTGCATCAGCCACTAGATGGCACTGTGTTGCTGCAGAGTAGCGTCAGAGTAGCGGTTTTCTACGCAATCCCTCGCCGTTGGACAGTGCAGATATTGAGGCTTACGGCGTTCCCACACCGCGCATGGATTGGGACTCTAGCAACCTGCCCGAGGCATGGCGGGGCTTCAAGCAGCTCGCCGAGCTGATGTTTGCTGGTCCTCTTCGGGGGAAGGAGGAGGCAGACAAATGCAGCTACCTTCTTCTATGGGTCAGTGAGAAGGGACGGGATGTCTACAACACGTGGATGCTCACCGCAGACGACTCCCGAAAGCTTCAAATGTACTACGATTACATCACACTGAAAGCTAACCCAATCTACGCCAGATATAGGTTCCATGAAAAGATGCAGGGTGAAAATGAGGCATTTGAACAGTTTATTACAGAACTGAAACTGCTTGCTAAAGACTGTGGGTACCCAAATACAGATGAAATGGTCAGAGATCGCCACACATTACATAAGAAGAGGAATAGTTTCCCAGGTTAAAATGCCCAAGAAGATCAGTTTTAAATCTCTCTCCTCATCGATGGCCGAGCCCGAGTTCTTGATGACAGACTTTGCCAAGATGGAGTTTCAAGGACAGCTGCACCTAGGCTTCCAGGCTATCCATGCCTTCCAGAAACATGGCCATCTTCACTCAAATACAACAAACCAGGAAATATAACATGTTGATCTATGTTTGCATCAGCCACTAGATGGTGTTGCCATCTAGTGGCTGGACCCCAGACCCCTCAACAAGGCCATACAAAGACCCCATTACCCTCTACCCACCTTGGAGGATGTCACCACAAAACTTCCTGGGGCCAAGTATTTTAGTGTTTTGGATGCCAGATCAGGCTACTGGGCCATTAAACTAAGCCA